CTCTGCGCTCTTCGACACGGTGCCGCGCGCCGCGCAGCCGGGCTACCTGGTCACCAAGGTGGTGGCGGTGGACGCGGACTCGGGACACAATGCCTGGCTGTCCTACCACGTGCTGCAGGCCAGCGAGCCCGGACTGTTCAGCCTGGGGCTGCGAACCGGCGAGGTGCGCACGGCCAGAGCTTTGGGAGACAGGGACGCGGCCCGCCAGCGCCTTCTGGTGGCCGTGCGGGACGGGGGACAGCCACCCCTCTCAGCCACCGCCACGCTGCACCTGGTCTTTGCTGATAACCTGCAGGATGTACTGCCAGACCTAGGTGACCAACCAGCATCCTCTGACCCCCAGGCTGAGCTGCAGTTCTATCTGGTGGTGGCGTTGACCTTGATCTCCGTGCTCTTCCTACTGGCGGTGATTCTGGCGGTCGCCCTGACCCTGCGACGTTCCTCCAGCCCCGCTGCCTGGAGTTGCTTTCAGACAGGTGGTGTCTGCTCCAAGGCTGGACCTGGGGTTTTCCCCAACTACTGCGACGGGACTTTGCCCTATTCCTACAATTTATGCGCTGCCTCGCACTCCTCCAAGACTGAGTTTAAATTTGTCAATATAAACCCTGAAAATGCTCCACCACAAGATCTTCTATGTAGTGAAGCCTCTTGGTTTGAGGGTACCTGTAATGATAATCCCCAAATGACATCTGATTCAGTCAAGTTGCAACAGGTGAGTTACTTCAAAACTCTTTCCTCCCGTAAGTATAATTAGGTTCAATTCATTATTTTAGAGGTAAAAAGTACACCGGCTAAACATATCTTGATTTTGCGTTTTATTGATTTGGGGAGCATACAATGGGGGTGTTGGAAATTCTTTGTTTATCTGTGTTGCAATTGTTCTTTCATACAAAGTCACCTTGTGGTGGTCTTGAAATTTTTGTTAATCCTAAAACAATATATCCTGAAACATTTTTAATACATTTGTACCTCACACTCTCATTGTGAGACACATTAGCTATATATAATTAAACATAAATCCAGACAATTAAGTGTTTTTCTTAGTTTCAATGCAGTCAATCCTCAATTGTGGTTTATATATACCCTATACTCTATAGTATACTATATAATATATAAATATAATATTTTTCATTGTAGCCCATATATTTTCACTTCGTTTGCATGTTTTAAAAAGTATAAACAGATATTGGCTAAATTAGGGCTTAATTTACATTTTAATTTAAAATAGATAATGAAAAATTTTAAATGACAACAATTAACTGTCACTAGGGGAATTGGTTCAAATATGTTTGTGGTTGTTGGTTCCCTTATTGAAAATGGGACAAATATAAATTGCGGTGGGGTGTGATAATTAAAGATTTACAGAAAAGTGTAATATTTCTCTTCTCCAAGGCCATAAGAGATATCACCACAAAAATGAATGGTAAATTCCAGGGAGCATTTAAAATTATTAAAATAGGCTCTTTTGTTTTTCCAAATGCTTCTCACTCTTGGGGAGAGAAATTTTATGAGTGCTATCTACGCAGATTTAGCTGAATTCAGATCTTCTCTATGATCTTTTCACAAATACGATGCAGTATTAAGTTAGGACTCTAAGCGTCGCTGTTCACTAACCCGGGTAAGGAAAGCAATGAGAACTCCAGTTATATCCTCCAAGCACAAAGCAGATCGGATACAAAAGCTCTGCAGCTGCGCAAAAATTCTGACCTAAAACGCCTCGCATCGGAACTCTGCTTGTTTATGGATCTTGAACCTTAATTCTGAGAAGCCCAAGAGCAAAGCGAACCTGTTCCGCCTACGCATCACTCCAGGGAAGTCCATAAGGAGCCAGTAATGGCGGCTCTGCAAAGGCGCTGGCACCACAGCCGGTTTGTCCTGCTTTATATGCTCCTGGGGACGCTGTGGGGGGCCGGGGTCCCGGCTGGACCAATCCGTTACTCCATTCCTGAGGAACTGGACAAAGGCTCCTTGGTGGGCAACATCGCGGAAGATCTCCAGCTGGAGCCCCAGGAGCTGGCGGAGCGCGGAGCCCGAATTGTCTCCAGAGGTAGGACGCAGCTTTTTGCTCTGAATACTCAAAGAGGCAGCTTGGTCACCGCGGGCAGGATAGACAGGGAGGAGCTCTGCGCTCAGAGCCCGCGATGTTTGGTGAGTTTTAACATCCTCATTGAGGACAAACTAAAGCTTTATCCCATAGAGGTGGAAATAGTGGACATTAATGACAATACACCCCAATTCTTAAGGGAAGAATTGGAAGTGAAAATTCTTGAAAACGCAGTCCCATCCTCTCGTTTTCCACTAGTGGAGGTCTCTGACCCGGATGTGGGAGTGAACTCTCTTCAGGGCTTCAAGCTCAGCGGGAGTAGTCACTTCTCAGTGGACGTGTCAAGTGAAACTGATGGGCCCAAATACCCGGAGCTGGTGCTGGAGCATGCTCTGGACCGGGAGGGAGAGTCTATTCACCACTTGGTTCTTACTGCCATGGATGGAGGTAACCCTGTCCGGTCAGGCATTGCGAGAATTCTGGTAACTGTCCTAGATGCGAATGATAATCCTCCAGTGTTTACTCGGCCTGTCTACCTTGTGAGTGTTCCTGAAAATCTGCCAATAGGTACACCACTGTTGTCAGTAAATGCCACCGACCAGGATGAAGGGGTCCACGCAGAAGTAACATATTCCTTTGTGAGAATAACAGAAAAGATCTCAAAGATTTTCTGCTTGAATGTTTTCACTGGAGAAATAACAATTTCTGCAAATCTAGATTATGAGGATTCTAGCTTTTATGAGCTGGAGGTTGAAGCTCGGGATCAGCCAGGTCTACAAGGCAGAGCAAAAGTCTTAATAACTGTCTTAGATGTGAATGATAATGTACCAGAAGTAGTAGTCACATCTGGAGGCAAGTCGATTGTGGAAAGTACTCCTCCAGGAACAGTAATTGCTCTTTTTCAAGTATATGACCGTGACTCTGGACTGAATGGCCTGGTAACATGTTCTATCTCAAAAAGTCTGCCATTTGAGCTAGAAAAGTCAGTAGACAATTATTATCGATTAGTGACCAATACAGTTCTAGATCGAGAACAGGTATCCCTGTACAATATCACTGTGACAGCCACAGACAAAGGGGTGCCACCTCTGTCTACAGAAACCTTGATCTCTCTACATGTGGCAGACACGAACGACAACCCACCTTCCTTTCCCCACTCCGCCTACTCTGTCTATGTCCCTGAGAACAACCCCAGAGGTGCTTCCATCTTCACTGTGACTGCACACGACCCTGACAGTGACGAGAATGCCAGAGTCACTTACTCCCTGGATGAAGACACCATCCAGGGTGTGCCTCTATCCTCCTATGTCTCCATCAACTCTGACACTGGTGTCCTGTATGCATTGCACTCCTTCGACTATGAGCAGTTCCGTGACTTGCAATTGAGAGTGACTGCACATGACAGCGGGGACCCACCGCTCAGCAGCAACGTGTCCCTGAGTCTGTTTGTGCTGGACCAGAATGACAATGCACCCGAAATACTGTACCCTGCCATCCCCACCGACGGTTCCACTGGTGTGGAGCTGGCACCCCGATCTGCAGAACCCGGATACCTGGTGACCAAGGTGGTGGCAGTGGACAGAGACTCAGGCCAGAACGCCTGGCTGTCCTACCGCCTGCTCAAAGCCAGCGAGCCAGGACTCTTCGTGGTGGGGCTGCACACGGGCGAGGTGCGCACTGCGCGGGCCCTGTTGGACAGAGATGCGCTCAAGCAGAGCCTGGTGGTGGCAGTTCAGGACCATGGCCAGCTCCCTCTCTCGGCCACTGTCACGCTCACGGTGGCGGTGGCTGACAGCATCCCAGATGTTCTGGCTGACCTGGGCAGCCTGGAGGTCCCTCACGACTCTGAAGCCTCAGGCCTCACTCTGTACCTGGTGGTGGCAGTGGCTGTGGTTTCCTGCGTCTTTCTCGCCTTTGTCATCATCCTGCTGGCACTCAGGCTGAGGCGCTGGCACACGTCACGCCATCTGCAGAGTTCTGGAGGTGGGTTGGTGGGCGTACCTGCCTCGCACTTTATGGACGTGGACGGGGTGCGGGCTTTCTTGCAGACCTATTCCCATGAGGTCTGCCTCACTGCTGACTCAGGGAAGAGTCACCTGATCTTCCCCCAACCCAACTATGCTGACACACTCATCAGCCAGGAGAGCTGTGAGAAAAGCGATCCTCTTTTGCTTCAGGAAGATTCAGGTTTTTGTAAAGAGGAAGGCTCCCTTGTTCAGGTGAGATTATTGCTTCTATTGGTTTTATTTGAACAGAAAATTTAAAAATTCTATTTGATCAGAGCTTAGTCTTTTTAGTATTTTGCAGTGAATCATATAATTTTATAACGTTTTTTCTTTGTTAATAGAGCTCTATCTTAGTTTTCTCTAATTTTACCAAAATCATCTTAATAATGTATGCCCTGGATTTTCTTTTACTTTTCTCCTCTTGGCAAGCTCTTTGTGCCTTTGGTTACATACATCTCATTTCTTAGATATTTCTTTTCCATTATGTGACATTTCTGAGATTCTTGTTCTAATGTGAAAACTAAATTGCAGGTTTTTAAAAAGAAGCTCAACTTCTTGGTTTTTCCCCCCAGTTTTAATTAATAGCGAGTATTTTCTGAAATTATGGAGATCTGTGAGAGATTTCCCCCCTTACTACTTAGTAATAAAAAATTATTTATATAAAAGATTAAAGTAATTAAGAAGACCAGATCTTTGGTGTTTGAAGACCTGAATATCCTTGGAGCTATCTGAATATCCTTGGAACTACCTGAATATCTTTGGAACTATCTGTTTTTCATCTTGGACCAGTCACAATATCAATAGTCCGCAAAGTAAAAATTAAATTAAAAAGACTTGTCTTATGTACCTCACAGAAAATATGGGGAAATATTTAAAAATGAAAATAGGGGATGGGAGATATCTGTAATACTATCAACAATAAAAATATATTTAAATAAATAAATAAATGAAAATTAGCCCTGGCAGGTCAGTTGGTTAGAACATCGTCCCCATAGCCAACGTTGTGGGTTCAATCCCTGGCCAGGACACATACAAGAATCAACCAATGAATGCATAAATAAGTGGAACAACAAATCCATGTTTCTCTCTCTCTCCTTCCTCTCTCTCTAAATAATTTTTAAGAGAAAGTGAATGTTAAAATATGCTCATAGTGTCACAGGATACAACTCTAAAAATAGAGGAGTGACTAATGAATGGGAGAATAAAGACTTAATAATGTTCAACTAAGAATTTAAATAATTAGCAAATGTAACCCAGATAAAAT